ACACACACACACACACACACACACTCACACACACACAGAGCAAAACAGAGAAAAATGCTAAAAAATACACGTCTCAATCACATAATGTGAGTTCCAGAGATTTGCTGTCAAACACCGTGCTTAGAGTTAACAGTATTGTATTGAACATTTTAAGTACTGAGAGTGTACGACTTATATTAAGTATAATGAATCAATTTTTAAAAAGTGAAAATGTAATCCCAAAAAGTCGTCAATCACTGAAAATCTAGTAATTCAAAGGATCCAGGCAAAAATAGCTGTTTTTCCTGTGGCTCCATTATAGGAACTGTCCAGAGGAGAAAAGTACACAGGAAGGGAGTAGAGGTTACCAGGCACAAGCAGGGGAAGGAGAGGCAGAAATTATTTCATAGGTCATTTGAGGTCATAGAAATGTTTTGGAATATCTATTCATTGAACTATAAATATTAAATTTTTGACAGATAATAATGATAAGCTATTTTTGTTCTCAGTTCCAATGATTTAGAACCTATCATTCAGAACAATAAGCCCTTTGATTCAAATTTTAAAATTATTCAAACATAGAATAACACTATTCTATTTTGTCACAAACACAAAGATTTGAAACCACATCTGAGGCATTTATACATAGTAAGAATCCAGCCTGCACCTTTTAGTGATGAAATATTAAACTAAGAAGTTCTTGTAGAAGTCACAGTGTGGACAAAATTCCACACAATGGAAGTGTCTGCATAGACACAGGAAACAAAGCTAGGCCCTTCATGCAGCTGTTAAACATCTTGTTTTCTAGACTCATGATAAGAACATAGTGGATTTTCTTTTTTATAAATATCATGAAAGATTTTAGAATATAAGAATAGTAGCCCATGTCTCAGATTTTAGAAGTGAAATTTGGCTCAATTAGTGTCATTTATTCAGCTGTTTTTCCATACAGTTAGTGCTGTGTGTGTGGAAAAAACCTTGCATTCAAATCCTAGTTCTTCAGCCTCCCAGCTCTATGGCCTTGGAGGAGTCATTCAACTTTAATGAGCATTTTGTTTTTCTATTTAAAAAATACCTTTAACCATCAGCCTAGGGGAGTCATTTTTAGGATCAGAAATCGTGATTATAAAGCATCTATTACAATGCCTAGCAAATGGTAGGTTTTGAATAAATGATGAGTTACTTTTGTATTACATATTTCTATTAAAATCATAGGATCTTAGTGTAATATGATTGTATTCTGTTTCCTTACATGATGTTTTTTTATCGTCTTTTTTCATGGATGGGGTGATCCCAGGCTGAAGGGTTCTTTTTATCACTTTGATTTCATAAAACATTATTATGAACCCCTCTTTACATTACTAGACAGAAGCAAAATCACTAGAGAATATGAAATTATAATTCAGCACCTCATCCTTTCCCATACTTCTCTAAATTATTTTAGAATTTATAAAACATTTAAAAAAGATATTTCACTGCCAAAAGTTTTTTCAAACTACCTGTATTTTCATTGTTG